CGTAGGATGCTTTGTTCAACCGTCCACCTCACGACACAACAAGACTCCAGGAAGTCACCGTCGGATAATATCCCTCTGACTTTTTCACATGTTTTTTATTGTTTACTGATTATACAAACAATATATGATGAGTAATGCTAAGCTAACTGAACCGGCTTCGGTTTGTATCTGCACTAAAGTGACAGACATGACAGTGGTTTTACCTTCTTATCCAACTCTTGACAAAATACCATCAAAATAATGCTTTGTTATTAAAGATTTTTAACAGTGCACTCAAGATGATTCAATCTGGCCATTTTGGATAACACTTTCTCATGAAGAGCCCTTTTATTAGGGTTTTTAAGGTGCAACTAATGGTTTTATCAATCAATGTGTGCTGCCTTGCAGATAAGCGACTGGATTTTAGAGGAAAGAAAGCATGAAATAACAAAAAGGAAATTGTCAAAAGATAAAAGAGGTTTACAATCTCTCTTTAAGCTTTGAGCGAGGATGATGGGAAGTTACAATCCCCCCTTCCTGGACAGTGAGTGAGTAAATCTTGGAAAACGGATATCGATTGCGCAGTCATAAAGTCGCCATTGCGCTTTTACTTCTCAATTATCAGTCACAAATCAAATTGGACTGCAGGAATTCCAACACAAACCTGTTGAGCCACAGCAGACACTTGTTATTCAACATATATATCGGGTTGGAGTCCCAGTGGCATGGAGTAATAAGATTGCCCCAGACAAAGAAATCAGTTTCTCGGTTGCTTTACCGTCTATTTCAATAACCTTTGAGCTTTAATGCCGGCCAGCTTACATTAGCAACACCAGTCTCTACATCCTAAACAGCCCTGTCACAGCAGTTTATAATGTGAACTTTTAAAAAGCAAAGATTTATGGAGTTTGAAAAAGTACGTTTCAGACCAAATGCTCCACAGGGAGAAGTGTCGGGAGTGTTGCTCTTGCTTAGAGAGGGATTCTGCCTGACAGTGAGCCACACACACACACGGCTATTTAAGCGAAACCTGCTTTCATTACTTTTCTTTCCATTTAAGACATCAACAAATGCAATCCCGAATCCAACACCCAAATATCTGCTTTCATGGTGAAAATCAATGGCCAAGCTGGACAGAGTTGTAGTGGCCATATAAAGAAATCAATGCAGGCTTATTAACCGAGCTTTCTTTACCGCTGACACTAAATGTGTGTGTGTGTGTGTGTGTGTGTGTGTGTGTGTGTGTGTGTGTGTGTGTGTGTGTGTGTGTGTGTGTGTGTGTGTGTGTGTGTGTGTGTGTGTGTGTGTGTGCGCGAGCGCTGACATGGCTGCCAGTTTGTATCCGACTTGGCCCGACTCTTTGAATGATGGCTGGTTGTGTGCGGGATGTGCGAGTGTTAAGCATGTGTGTGTCCGCCAGTCAGAGTGTGTGTCCCTGACTGTCGGTGGCTAGTGTACAAGTGCTACTTTGCGTTCGTGTTCCGCATGTTTATGAGTGTGTGTGTGTGTGCGTGTGTGTGTGTGTGTGTGTGTGTGTGTGTGTGTGTGTGTGTGTGTGTGTGTGTGTGTGTGTGTGTGTGTGTGTGTGTGTGTGTGTGTGTGTGTGTGTGTGTGTGTGTGTGTGTGTGTGTGTGTGGTCGGGACTATCGCTCAAAGTCAGTATGCTGCTCTTGGTTTAGTGCCACAGTGTTCTCAAAGCGCCCCGGCCTCGGTCTATTTGTGGACAAAAGGATGCTCTGAGACAAATGATTTAGCACCTGTCAGTCACCGCAGAAGGACGAGGGAGGAGAAAAAAGGAAGAGGTCAGAGATGGGGGGGGGGGGGAATATGATGGAGGCTTTGGGTGAAAAACCATGAAGGGAGGAGAGAGTACAAAAGAAAGGGGGGAAAGTTGAGGCAGGAGAAAAAGACTTGTCTAAAAGAGAATGTAAGGTTTAGCTCAGGGTCATCACATAGCTTGATTTCCTGTGAGCAATTTTCCCCTGGAAATGACAGCTTCTATTTCTGTTGAGCTGTTTGCCTAACACAAGCTCAAAGGCATGGTGCCTGGCCTTCGGGCCCAGAGAGCAAACCTTTTCCTCATCACAAGAGTTACCATAACAACGGATGAGGCCGACCTGCACCGGTGACAGCGCGGGGATGTGAACTTTGCTTCTGCCTCCAGCGCTCCGACTGTCTGCTGCACCTCCGACACATCAACACCCACCCTCCTTTGAAGAAAAAGAGCAAATAAAAACACATTTTCAGAATTTTCTGTGCTGTTAATATTTGGCCACCAAAGCTGCGATTGTTCAGCAGAGGATGATCTGTTTGTAGCTTGAGAAAACACAAAGGGCTTTGTCACGAAGAAAGAGACAATTGTAATTTCAGAAAAGGCCCAAACAAACAACTTGAAGCCAGTATGAAATAATGTTTGCGGAGCCGCATACTGATACTGATACTGATACTGAATTGTTAAAAATGTTTTACTTGATTACCCTAATCTAAGTAGGCTATCCCAATATTATAGTGATTATAGTAACTTGATTACATTCTGTTATTTTCGGATCGCCTCAACATCAAATGCAATGCAAAATAATTGAAAGAGAAAAAGATGGATATTATTGTGTGTTATGCAAGACAACAACACAATGTAGACTAGGGTAAGGGGAATCAGACAGTCATCTGATTATGGTTTTTTTCAAAATGTAACTGTAAGGAAATGCTGTTAACTTTTTTTTATCGTGGTTATCCCATTACATTTAAGCCTGGATGCCCTGGTAGGTCTTCCCTGTTTTTGTACACAAACATCATCATCCTATTTACACATATTTACACAGTCAATAGTGATATATTGCTGACCTGGATATTTCCCGCCAAACAAAGTCTCCCCCCCCATCCATGAAAACGGCGAGAGCGGTTTAGCTAACGAGCATCTGATTGTGCAGATTACGCATGTTCCGCTGAGGATTACTGCGACTGAAATGAACAAATTGACCTCTTACCACTGAAATCCCACATCAGCATGACACAAGATGAGCAGAGTGAGTGCAAACTGAATCTGAAATGGAAGAGCAAAAGCCGTAAAACAAGTTGCAGTCAGCAGCATTATTTTTAGAAAAAACATCCCGCCAGTGTTTTATTTGTGTCTTCTCTGTTTGCAGACACTGATGACTCTATAGGTGAACACTCAAACCATGGCCTGATTGCCTTTGAGGCTTTATTTCAACTCAATGTAAAAGTGAAATAAGCAATAGAAATGCATAAGCTATTTTCTCTACCTGGCAGCGTGTCATTTGCATTGATGTCTGGCTCATATTCTAACAACAAATATCAGACTGTGCACCCTGTTCTGTGTGTATTCTTAGCCGAGGGGCAGGCGGGCGTCTTCTTCTCTGGTTCCCTACTGAGACTTCTCAGGCAAGTCAAAGCTATTTAAAAGTCATCTCACAGCGAGATGTAACAAAAGCTCAATGACAGACCAAGGCCTTACTCAAAATTCAATTTTTCCGCTTTCTCTCCCCAACAATAGAAGTACATAATTTCTCTCCTACGCTTATTTGGGGAGCGCTCTGGAGAGGAAATGGCATGCTTTTGTTAATAAGTGTCTCTCTCTGTTTCGCTGAGAGAAGACGATTGAAAGGCTTATGTAGGTCACATTGTATTAATCTACCCGGCTATCCTCGTAAATGCTTTCAAACATGCAATATAAAAAATCCAGTTCATTGCTCATTTCCTTAATAATGCAGTGCGGCTGCAAAGTAAATGACTTCTCAGGCGCTGAAATAGTGATCCCATTGCCTTTGCATTTAGGCAGTAAATTACTGGTCTGGATTATAGCGCGACAAATGAGACACGCTTGATATCAATCTGACAGAATAGTTCAAACACCCTGCAAACTGAATATTTAGCAGCGGCAAGACCCTCTAATCCCTCATCGGTAATGAGATCTGTGTGCATTCAAATAATTAATAAACTAGATGATATCCAAATGATTCCGCACGAGATGCAAATGCCATCAATTATCCGTCTGAGTGATTCCACAATCTTAAGCAAACTAGAGATTTCACAAGTCAGACAGGCTCAATGGGAACATGCACATGAATGTTTTATAATATTGTCAGACTTCTGCTTGGATCAATGACATGGCGGCTTCTCATCTGGATGAAGATTCTCTAGGTTTAATAAATCTACAACTGATTGACAGGCTCAGTGTGACATTTCAACACATATTTTATCTCCAACGCTGCAGTATGTTCAGGTTATCTGTTGCCGATTAACTATTGTGAACACCGCCGGGCTGCATGATATTGGATGTCCAACATGAACAGCAGAGCGAGACAATAAATCCCTCCTGGGCTGTATAGGGAAAAAAAAAAAGGGCACGGATGAGTTGCTCAGTAATGGGTTTATATCAAAGGAAGATATTGCTGTAAGGTGAAGCTAGCGGCCGAGACTGATGTTTTTTGATCAGATCATTAGAGCTGCTTGCCGATTAAGGTTTGCTTTGAGAAAGTAAACATGGTTTCAAAGATTACCAGGGTCAAAACGGAAGCCTCCATCTCTTTGCTGCACATTTCCATGAGTGTGTATGTGTGTGTGTGTCTTTGTAAGACAAAGAGAGAGACAGAAATAGAAGGAGTGTGAGTGTGTTTGCGCATGCATTACAAAGGCGAGAGAGGTCCTTGAGGCAACCTGCACATCTTTTTATCCCATCTTTAATTAATTGAAGCCCATAATAGAAGCTGCTGCAATTCCACTGACTAGACAGTTGAATGGAAACCAGGCGGGGAAAAGGACATATGTTCCCAATGCTTTTTTTATAATAATAATAATCCATTTTATTTATAAGTGCACTTTTCATTCGAGTAAACAAAACTCAAAGTGCTTTTTATCAAGCCTCCCTTGCCATTTCACAACAATCTGCATATGTAACAGATCTGCAGCCACTGTCAATCTTTGCATGGTGGATGGAATGCATTACCCTGAAGGAAAAGGGTTGTAACTGAGTGATTGATGTGTCTATTCTCTTCCCTCTCAAGGTTTTGTCTCTGAAGGTCTACCGTAAAAACCGCCATGGTCATCTCGTGGCTCTCCTGCCTCGCCCTCATCATCGGGACCCTCGTCCCTCGACCGTGCGTTGGATGCCCGTCCAGCTGTCGCTGCTACAGCCTAACAGTGGAGTGCGGATCTCTAGGAATCAAAGAAATCCCACATGGCGTCCCCTCTGTAACCGAGGTCAGTTGGCCGATCGACCATAAGTGAGGGTGCTAGCTCACATACTGTAGCATGGCAGCTGACCCCCCCCCCCCCTCCCCCATTCACCCTTCCGCATCAGTGCTTTTGTATCTGCTAACTCCCTCTCTGATCCATTCTTATTACCCTGAAATGATTGTGGTTAATCAATTTGCCGTGACCCTCTTTGATGCGAGCCTGAGGGAGGGGCTGCGCTGTTGCCTGTGTAATTATTCATTCTTGCTCAGAAAATGACTCTTGCACACTCTCTGATCATCTGTTGAGAAGATGTTAAACATTACACGTCTTTTCCTCCCGGGGTTCAGGCCCCACAACATTACTGCAGCCCATGAATATTAATGAAGACCATAGCGCATAAATTGTCCCATTAACCTCAATCAGCAGGTCTATCTCGTCGATCATTCTTCAACTCAGGGGCCGTGTTTGCTTCCTTCGAAAAACATCTCCAGTGGTTGCACAAGCCATGCATTGTGGGTCAAGCACAAAGTGTGTAGTTCCAATCACTCGAACATTTATTTTTTGTTTGCTGACAAGGTCTGTGATTTCTGCAGCATTTGGCAAAATAAGTGAGCCACAAAGGAAAGGGAACATGCTGCAGAACCCACATTTTCAGAGCCATTACTATCTGGAACTTGCTCATTCCACATTGTTTGTAATGCCTACATTAACATATATCCAAAGCTCTGCACAGCCCAGTGAGCGCAGACAGCTCTTACAGTGGCCCCGTTGTTAATGCAATCTCTCCTCATGGTTAATACATTTTTCTACTCGGTGAGCACAGCACAGCAACAGGCCACGCTCACACTCTTGTAGAAAAGGAATTCAAACATCACATCCCCTCCACTGTGTCTCTAATGTAATTCATTTGTGATCACTCCACTGATTTGATTTACCCTGTCTCCGCTGCAGACCATTTTCCTCCAGGACAACGCTATAGTGCAGATCCGTCTTCAGGACCTGACTCGCCTTGGCAGCCTTCATTACCTCTACCTTCAGAATAATAGCATCTCAGCCCTGGAGCCGGGGGCGTTCCTCAGCCAGGGGCAGCTGCTGGAGCTGGCCCTCAACGGCAACCTCATCCACCTGGTCACTCCGGACATGTTTCGGGGTCTGGAGCACCTCCGGATCTTGTACCTCGCCGGGAATCAGATCAGTAAAGTGCAGGACTACACCTTCAGGGGACTGCAGGTTAATGAGATGAGATAATGGAATGGATTAATGGATGGATGGATGGATACAAATGTTTAAAGTAAGGCTGTCATTAATGCTGTGGACTAATCTGGAAACATGACGCGTTAATCACATTACTAATTTTGACACCAACTTCCTTCCTTAATTCCAGCACAGGTGTTTTCTATGAATATTGTATTGCAATGAAAATACAAAGAAAGCTGTGAAATTGGCACAAGCTACAAGTATTATACTGCCTGAAGACCACTGTAAGAACGATCACTACCTCAGTGTAACGGCAAACCCATGAAAACGTTCTGCACTCGTTTTCTTTGGGTGCTGTTGTCGGGAAAGGAAAATCTTGACCCAATTGCAAAATGACAGAGGGGAGGCAGGTAAAAAAGTATAAACAGAAAGTGAGCTTTATTAAATTAAAGCTGGTACAAATAAACACTAACTAAAACTGAAGGAACATGCAAGGTAAAAACAAAAGGAAAAGTTGCAAAGCAAAACGAGTAACAAAAACAAGAGGATAGACGAGGAAAATCCAGAATGATACAGACAGGTAACCAGGAACTCTGACAGACTGAACCAGACTAGGGAAACAATGACAACGAACTGACAGGGAACATACAAAACTAATCATAAAGACAAGACACAGCTGGAGAAGGCAGAGAGAAAACACAAGGGCAGAAGGTCAACAAAATCAGACAATCACACAGGCGGGAAAATACAAAGACATGAAGTAAAACAAGACAAGACACAAGGAGAAAAGGCAGTTAAAAATAAAAAAACTAAGATGACAGGTGTGGGAAAAATGTGGAAATGCACTTTGCTGAAGCATGCGTCAGTTGTTTGAAATTGCACAGGAGTGAGACATTGCAGAGAAAATTACCCCTGTAGGGGTGGTCGCAATGTGATGGCGGCACTAAGAATACCATCATACTTTCACATTATACAGAGGGTAATCACAGCAGCTCTAGTGGCAGTAGGTTTTTGGATGCTATATAATGTCAGAAATGTGTCTGACTTCTTGCCAATAATTCAGAAATGATCAAAACGTAGTTAATATATAGTAATACAGCAACAAACCTTTTGATTTCTTAGCAGTCTTCAATTGTTTTTGGTAAAGGGAAAAAGCTTCACTTTTGCTAGCAAAGCTCAAGCTATTCCAATACAGGATACATTTTAAAGGCTTAAATAGGATGACGTCTGCAACTGTAAATCCATGACATGACAACATGTCGGATTAATCCCTAGCATACTGTAATACAGTGCAGACTGAGTCAGGTGGAATTGAGTCATCCTGTCTTTATATTTTTACATCACTTTTCCTCTTTAACGTTTGCCTTTCTCTGCTTTATGTCTTTTCGCCATCTGCAGCGTCTGCAGGAGCTTCACCTGCAGGAGAACAGCATAGAGCTGCTGGCTGAGCAGGCTCTGTCTGGCTTGTCATCTCTGGCTCTGTTGGACCTCAGCAGAAATCACCTCCGCACCCTGGGGGCTTCGTCACTCAAACCGCTTGTTAGCCTGCAGGTGCTCCGTGTCACAGGTAGGCAGAGCGTGAACAGAATACCTAAACACATCATGTCTGACTGTAATATGGCATAATCCTCCAAGATGTATTGGAATTCAAAGTGCCTTGAAAAATGCTTCCATACCACAACTTTGAAGAACTGGCTGCTTGCTCATGTCAATGAAAATGAAGTGCCTTTAAAAATGTTTTATCTATCAAAGGGTTTCATCAAGCCATAATCCTTTAATGAAAGAGTAATCCCTCAAAGACATACTTTTAAAGAAAAAATTAAAGGCACACTGTCTGCAAAAGGGACCTCCTGTTGAGGGCAATTAGTCCTGCAATGGACGCCAAAAGAGCTCAAAATAATTTTAAATACTAATGAGAAAAATAAATATGTGTCAGACAAAAGCGCCTTAGGGTCAATTTAACAGCTGTTCTGGGACTTTCAACCTTATCACATGAGTTTGCTCAGTTGTTTAAGACCTTCAAAATGTTATATCTTGTGCACTACGGGAACTTTAACCCAAGTAAGGGCACTGTCACACATGCACACAAGCAAGGCAATGTTTTTGTTACCCCTTAACTAGCACAGAATGGAAGTTAACATGAGGCGAATGTTAATTGAGCCAATTTGTGACCTTGCTTGAAAAGTTGAAATTGGAAAAAAAATGAACACCAACATCTGGGTCCATTTAACATCTTTTTCTGAGCTTTGTATCCTACCGAATGATATTCATCAGCTGTTTTCATGGAGTTTGTTCTATAACCGAGGGATTCTCTGCCATACAGGTTCAAACTAGGGATTCAAAGTTGATTAATGTCACTGGAAACAGCAGTTGACAAAACCATTCACTTGGTTAACTTTGTCTTTTCCATTCCTCATCTCCAGAAAACCCATGGCGCTGTGATTGCGCTCTAGGCTGGCTGAGAACCTGGATCAGCGAAGACGGACAGCGTCTGCTGAGCTCTGCCGAACAGCGGCGGCTGATGTGCTCTGAACCTCCTCGCCTCTCCCACCTCAGCCTGGTGGAGGTGGCTCCCAACAGTCTGGTCTGCATCCCACCTGTGGTGCAGCTGGAGCCAAGCCACCTGACTGTGCGATTAGGGGAGAGCCTCCGAGTCTCCTGCCAGGCCTCAGGATACCCTCAGCCCCAAGTGACCTGGAAGAAAGCCTCCCATGGCAAGGCCCAGTTATCACCTCGAGGCCTGGTTCAGGAGCTGGGACCCAATGGGGAGGTCTTCAGGCCTGGAGCTGGAGGAGTGGTTACAGCCCTGCCCAGCAGTGGAGGGATCAAGATTGGAGGTGTTGGAGGAATCCAGGGGCTTGTGCGTGGGACCGAGGAGGGCGGCGAGAGGGACAGCTTTGATCCGGACATGGGCAGCGGCATGCTGTTCCTCAGCAACGTGACTGTAGCACATGCTGGGCGTTACGAGTGTGAAGCCTGGAACCCCGGTGGTGTAGCCAAAGTCACCTTTCATCTGGCTGTCAACATGTCTTCTTCTTCATATTCATCCCAGTTCTGGCCACGTTTGAACATGCAATCCGTTGTTTCCTCTTCATCTAGCTCCTTCTATCAGCCAGAGGTTCTGGACGTTAGCCAGGAGCTGCTCTATGAACAGGACAGCATGGACTTCTATGCTCTTGGCCCTGCTACGCAGACCGCCATTGCTATTGGTATCTCCTTGCTGGCACTAACTGCCGTTCTCCTGTTGATAATGATCTACACTCGTCACCAGCAGTTCCGCAAAGAAGAAGGAGGGTCCTACTGTACCAGCAAGGAAGAGAGCATCCTCTATGTGAACGACTACTCTGACGGACCCACCACGTTTGCGCAGCTCGAAGAGTACCGCGACGACCACGGCCACGAGATGTATGTTCTCAACAGAACCAAGCCTGTCATTGGCTCCACTTCATCCAGGTGTCCCATGATGAGCGGGTTTGTCCAGCAGAAGGGTATGAAAGAGGCTCTCCTGGACCACGAAATGGTGCAGACACTGACCAGATCAGGGGGGATGGGGCTTCGCAAAAACCCCGCGGACGGAAATGAGGGACCCCTTACAGCAGACCCTGAGGAGCTCTTCCTCAGTCAAAGTCTACTCTTCGGATCACAGGTTGCTTATGAAATCCATTGCTAAAGGGTTTAATAATGTTCAAATATGAACCAATATGTTGATGGACTTGAATAAAGACATAAAGGACCTTGGTGCAATGATTTGAAGCATTGGATTATTATGTGGTATCAGTTAGTGGTTGTTGAGGGGAACCTGGATCACAATCAGCGTCTCAGAGAATCTCATCTGATTGATTGTATTACACTAAGATGGGTCGGAGGGATGAACAGTGATAATTAGGGAATTTAACAACTGAACCATATCAATCTGTGTCCAAATCAACCCTTTAAAGATCATTATAAGTGGCTAACTTTATTAGAAATTGTTTGGATAACGGTTCATCTATATCCTCACAAAAGAGGCTGAGACTGTGAAGTGGAAACTACATGTAACAATACGGATTAAAACAGTGAGTCTTATTTTGTACTTCTCTTTAGGTTCTGTTTTGTGCGTTTTGTCAGTATTCTGTGTAAATATAATGACGCTAATTTTCACTGTGAAGTGCCGATGTTTTGTGGACCATATTGCAAATCCCACTAGAATTAGACCTAAACTGATACTCCTACTGAAACTACATTTTCAATACCCATATGTTCGAGTGGGCGTGTGTTGGTGGATTTGTTTCAAGAGGTTAATTTTGAAGGCAGCATTCATTTCTAACATAGCATTGTATTTGTTCATGTTGACATGTTTTCTCTACTTATTTGTTCAGTACTAGAACAAGGAATTAACATTTCTATTGTCTGAAATGAAATCTTTGGTGAAATTAATTCCATTAACATTGCTCTGTAACAACCGTTCCAACGAGAATATTGTACACTATGTCTTGGGTTTCTACATAATAAAAATGTATTTTGAAAGATTCACTGCTTCCTTTCTTACAAGGTCAGTTCTAACTCAGCTGTTCTGCCAATTCTATCGTCACACTGTGCTGTAAAGCTTATTGCTTTTCTCTGCCTTCTTATTCTCCCTCTCAACCCATGACATGTAGCTGGTGAGTGTGATAGATTTTTTTTCTAGAGACTCTGGCTCTCACTCGGTGTGTATACTGTAGGTCAGCCTTTGAGAGGTCTGTGTTTCACAACTCAGGTATGCTTTCAGAGCTACTTGTCGACAAAAATAGTAGAACGCAACAGGAAATGTGTTTAAAAACACAAAATCTGTTATTCAAACCTACTATAGTCCTAAAGCCATATTGATTTTAATTAAAAAAACAAATCAATAAATTAATTGAATAACATTTCTTTGTATGGAGGTTTCTTAGTAACTGTATTAATACCACTGTTCCACGAGAACTCAACAAGAAACACAACTGAAGGGCATGTTAAACCTCAACACATTTGAGTTACTAATAAAACTGTCATTGGCACTGTTCACTAGCATCCCCAAAATACCAGTATGTTAAGCGGGGAAAAACATTGAACGCAACACTTTATCTTTAACCAGTTTTTTTATAGTGATACATTTCCATGTTCAATTGCTGTCAATTTAACAGACCTATTTGACATACAACAACACAGAGATATGGTATAACAATTGGTTGTACAGTCCAGATAAGCTAATAGACATCTAAGTTAACCTGTTAAGCCCTGAGCCTGTTTTTCAGGTCTCAGGCTCGAAAATGACATTCCCAGAACAAAGGACCATATCTTCCCTTCTAAAAGGGTTAAATTAATAATCTTTTTTCTCAAAGTAATGATAAACCTGTGAGTTGGATGTAGAAAAGTCAGAACAATATAGATGTTTTTTATTTTAAAGAAAATTCAGATTTTACATAGTAAAAAACTGTAAATTATAGTGTCTGTCCAAAAATTCTTTTTTACTTATAGTGAAAACTACCCTTGGATGATGGTAAGGTAGACTAAAAGCTTTAGGAATCCAAAGTACAACATATAATAAGTACCCTGTATCAAGATTGATGCAAAACAAGTGACATTTGACCTTTTTAGAGAGATTTAGCAAAAACAACTCCACCTCTGAGGTGATTTGGGATGGGGGTTTTACCGTTTCTCTGGAACCCATTGGTCGATTTTGGTGATTGACTTCTCTTTATGACCGTTAGAGCCAATAGAATCGAAGGGGAATCTCCCCTCTCACTAACATGGCACAACAAAAAGGTGGGGGCTTCGCCATAGACTGTATATGGCTTCGCGCATGTAGTTTTGCATCAGAGCAACCTACACTCTAGCTCTGACATCTAGAAACGGAAAAGCAGTTTTATTGCTCATGGATTATCAGAAATCATTTCAAAGGGACACAGACACATTGGATTAACCTATTTGGATTAACTTCAGCAGCGTTTTTATCGTTTTAATGCCATTGAAGACCACTTTTGAGCAGACTACAGAGACAAGGTAACCATGTTAGCATTTTTAGATACCTAGCGCCACATGTTTTGATGTCTGTTTTTGTTTATAACGTCGCGATTTCGTATAATTGAGTGATAATGAGGGTACCCTTCGATTCTGTGTTACCTCACGATGTGAAACGATGTCATGGATGTGCAGAAAAGATAAATAATAAGGTTTTGTGAGTGAATTTCGGTGCAGTAATCTGTTAGCATTTTTCGCTCGTTGCTAATTCAGAGGCTCAGCGTTAGCATTGTGGGTTTTATTTTGAAAGAAAAATTAAAACGATCAGTTAGATGAGTTTCTTCCCGTTACATGGATATAAAACATACATAGTTTATTAAATGAACATGCCCTCAGACACTGTTTCCTGCAAGATGTTGCGGGAGGGCGTCGGTACCGGGGTCTCTCGGGCTTAACAGGTTAAATGAATAGTTAAACATTTTCTTAAACTTTGTTTCTAAGATACACAGAAGCATAACATGAAACTTTTTATTTTATTATCCCAGTGTCAAACATGTGTTTATAGATTTGAATGGTAATAAAAGCACAAACAAAGTACTTATCGTGCTTGGTTAGGTTTTAGGGTTAGGGTTATGGGTTAAGGTTAGGGTTAGGGTTAGGGTTAGGGTTAGGGTTAGGGTTGGTTGTAATGGATGGTTTGGGTTTAAATAGCTACATTTATTAAATAACTAAGGTTACGTACTAAAGTAAAGTACATTACGTTACATACTTTACTCAACAATGACTTTTGATTGTACCCAGTACAGGAACAGCAGTATCCCAGGTGAGAGCCTGGTGTTTGTTTTAATCTATCAACTCTGACTTTTCCTACAATGTTGCTCTTTATACTCTGTCACCAAACTTCCTTTGCTACTGTCAAAAATACTAAAGCCACTAGAAACTAAAAATATACCGAAATGTGAGCTTTTAAAACCTCCTTGCCAGAGTTGGGTGTAACGCGTTACAAAGTATCACACTACAGTTACTAACATTGCCCAGACACGCGTTACTTCGTTACTTTTATAAAATCAGTCATAATCACACTGACAGACAAGAGGGGTTGTGCAAAATACAGATAGCAGGAGACAGAGGACAGCCATAGTCAGAGCTATCTGGATCAGTCTTATGTGACAATGGAAACTGAACTAAAGAGAACATTTGAAACTTTAGCAGTCTGCGTGATCTGCCTGTAGGGAGGGGCGGGCCGGCCCTGCGAGTAAAGTAACGAGTAAAGTAACGAGTAAAGTAACGAGTTACTTTATGTAGAGAGTAACGAAGTAGTGTAATATATTACTTTTTTTTAAAGTAATATGTAATATGTAATATATTACTTTTTTTTAGTAACGACCCCATCTCTGCTCCTTGCATAGATTACCTACACCTGATGTTTTGTTGGTGAGGACTGGTTATATATGTGGAATCATAAAAGTCATGCAAACGTATCTTAAGAAATATGCTTGTTCGCTTTATTTTAGAAAGGTAGATAAGTCAGCTGCTAAGCCTAGCTTATCTCTTTGTTTCATTTGTTCACAAACAGTAATGTACAAACAACTCATTGTGAGCTTAGGGTTAGGGTTAGGGTTACCCTATCAGAATTAAAGGGCCCATGTCATGCTTTTCCGGTTATTACCCGTCCCCTTGTGTGTTATGAAGGTTTTTATGCATGTAAACGGTGTGCAGAGTCACAAACCCTCAAAGTACACCCTGTAGCGAGTAAAACTCTAACACAGAAAATACCTCCCCAAAACGCCTCGTTGGAGATACGTCATTGTCCATTTGATTCTTCCATTTCGTTCCGGGTACGGCATGATGTCAAGCCGTACCCGGAACGAAATGGACCAATCCGTGGAGCCGTTGCGTTACATCCGCGGAGCCGTTACGTTAAGCCCCCGCTGATTGGTCCAAATTGACCAATCCACGGACTTCCTCACACACACATCGGTGTGCAGGGAGCAGGCAGCTCAGCTGATAACAGACAGTTGGGATCGCGGCGAAATTCTCTCTGCAGACCCATTCTCACAGCGTTTATCAACCTTTTTCTTACTCAATATCAAGCCACACTTATTGTTTTTACTTCGGCTGTGAGTTTGTGTGTGCTCAGGATGAGTTTGGCTGTGTTTGGCTGTGTATCGCTAACAAGGAAACAACACCTCCACGGAGCTCAGCGCGATTCACAACGTCCCGACCAATCAGAGCACACTGTGCTCACAGGGAGGGTGGGGGCTGGAGCTATTGGAGCTCCAACGAGCCGTTAAAGGCAGAGAGTGAAATTCAGTGAATACACGTAGTTTACAGAGATGCTGTATGAGAAACCAATGTGAGTTTGGAAAATTGCACAATATAAATCTATTCTAGTAGACCTCAACAATGGAATTATGATCAGTGGAAATGGCCATGACATGGGCCCTTTAAGCTTCACAAAGAGATGCTTTTCAACTACGTTTTATATTAAACCTTCGCATTGAATGTCAGAAAACACAATAGTGTAATAGTAGCCTAAAAGCAGACAGCTGAGCTTATGTATACAGAAGCCCATCTTAGCAACACAATAACACAGCTGCAGATGTACGGTATTATTCAGCCTATAGTACGCAATAAAATGAGAAATGTGCTTGTTGCGGTTGTGCTATGAGGCACATTGATTTCCTTCTGTGATTCAATTCTCCGGTTTTGTCAATACATGCCCAACACATCCTTGCTTACAATGGTTGCCATGGGCACAATGGAGAAAACTAAAAATGTCCAATGTGATTGGTATTTGGAGGTGTGTATGATATTTTGTACAACCCCTACCACTGCATACATGCTGAGAGTACTAAACTGCTGGTTGTCATTTTTATACAGCGTGCACCTCCACTAATCACTCCACATTATTTTTCAAAGATCCCCACCAGTGTACCTACAGGCGTGTTGATTAGAGCCCTCCATAATTGATTTAATAGCCTGAAAATTATGCAGAAATAATACTAATGATAGCAGTAGTGTCGAAATCAAGGTTGTAATGCAATGCTGCTGCTAAAAGCACCCCACTAAGAAGCCTTACACTTCACAAAAAGCAGTAGCACTCTAATGCCGCATAAGTTATAGTATGTGGGATATGTAGGTGGATTATTCAACCATTTCTGATGCAGTAAGGGGTCTATGGCCAATGATTTAAAATGTATGTTTCTGAAAAGCTTGTTGTCGAGCTTTATTCAAAATGTGATGAGTGTTGCTTACAGATTTGAATTGTGGGTCATACAACCATTTAAGGAGAGTCTATGATACCTGTCAACAGTTCATGTTGTGCGTAGACGGCTCTGCTAGGATTGTTCCCTAGTTTAGGTTTCATGTTATGTGTTTAGATAGGTTCCTGTTTTATTTTGATAGTCTTGTCTACCCTCATGTGTCTAAAGTACATTTCCTGGCTTGTCTGTTTTCCCGCTGTTGTGATTGTCTAAATTGTCTTCACCTGAGGCCTGTACTACGAAGCT